CACTCGACGACGATAACTCCTCTAGACATATGATGCATCGTTGTTCTATTGGCCTTCGACATTCAGGGTCATTCTCATCGACGCCTAACCAGTTATCCATCAATGTTTCTTCCACAAGTTCAACTTCAACTTCAACAATGAAACCTTTTCCTTCTCCTCCACAAAGGCGGTTCGTAGTAATCGCGTCTTTGGAGATTTTAGGAACAAGGCGTTGCTGAATCCAGCTATCGATCCCTTCCTTGGACAACACGTTACCAACAAATCTTTTGAATGTTTTGTTATCTTCAAGGAAAGTAGGTGGAATCTCATATACGAATGCTACTTCTGCATTTTTTTTTCTTTGTCTAAGTAGAGATTCCCGACCCCAAGGACTCCTGATAATAATCCGCTCAATTTCCTTGATCCTTAGTGAGAAAGTTCCTGAGACTTTGGAATCGATTTTGTATTTCTTGGATTCATAGTTTACGATCCATGTAACCGGGTCAGATTCATGTCTTACATTGCGTATCGCCGGTCTGGTCTCCATATCGTAAACCGGTAAAATCTTTGTGTAATGATTTATTATTTGATGCTTAATTTGGTGAAGAACAATACTTTGTTGGGAGATTTAGGTAGAATAACCTACTTTGTTTTTAAATAGTTAGAATAATTTTACTATTTTTTTATTCTTGAAATAACCTATTTTAGATTATTATTTTTTTCATAACACTAAAATTGTCCTTTGTAAATTCTGCCGAAATATTGGCAGACTCTGCCGAAACATTGGCAAACTCTACTGTTAGCAGACTCTGCCAATATCTAAAAATACGCAGATTCTGCCAAAATATTGGCAGACTCTGTCGAAACATTGACAGACTCTGCTGAAGTATTGGCAGACTATGCGGAAACATTGGTAGACTCTACCGATGTATTGACAGACTCTGCCAATATCTAATCTACCAATGTTCGGCAGAGTCTGCCAAAGACAATTTTGGTATTATGAAAAAAAAAATCCAGAATAAATTATTTCAACAATAAAAAAATGGTAAAATTATTCTATCTATTTTTTTAAAAAAAAGTAGGTTATTCTAGGTAAATTTTTCAACTTTGTTTTGTCTCTCTGTATTCTTATGATCGATGTTCTCCTGTTTATTTATAAAAGATGTCCATCAGAGTTTCCATTTTCTGCTAGGATTTTCTCCTGTT